CACTGTGTTGGTCTGTTAGATATATGGTCTTATTCTTGAATTTGGCTTGTCCACATTTCAAAAGGAGCTCCCGGACAGACTTCAGGTTTGGAAATCCTCGGGTCACATAAGGTTCCACTCTACACAGCATTTTTAGGTTCTGGGGCGTGGCTTTTACAAAGACACCACTAAAAATTTTCTTTAGGTGAAGTCTTTCAGTGGGTCTCTGCACCAGTAAATTCACGCCATCAATCCTTTCAATGCGTACGACAAAGGCCAAGGAATGTTTATTTGGCAATTTCAAGCCATGAGGCTTCCCTTCCAGTCATTTGACACGCACCTTGTCACGTGTCTGCCGCCAGGAATCGTGTAGGAATGATTCTAGTCGCTTAGACCTGGGCCCTTTTCCTTTCCTCTGTTCCTTCTTTGCCAAAAATGCCTGCTTTGCCTGAGTGGCTTTGAGGGCTGGATAAGCCTTCCTCTTTTTCAGGAGATTTTCTGGAACCAAAGGGATTTTTCTTTGCTCTTGCTCTGCCATCTTTCCAGTGTAGCAGCAACTGATCATGTGCCTAATTTTTATATTTTTGGTAGACAGGGTTTCATCATGTTGCCCAGGATGGTCTCGATCTCTTGACCTCGTGATCTGCCAGCTTCACCCTCCCAAAGTGCTGGGATTACAGGGGTGAGCCACTGTGCCCAGCTGACCTCAACGCTTTTAAGTAGGACAGATGGGGTATTCTGCCAAATGTCCCTGAAATTGGGATTGGCTGTTGTTTTCTTATGATTAGATTAAGGTACTGGATTTGGGGAAGATCCCACCAAGAGGATGCACCCTGCTCATGATACCATATAGAAGACAGCAAGATGTCAGCACTACTCACAGCTGACAATGTCAACCTTGATCCCTTGGCCAAGGTGCTGTCTGCCAGGTCTCTTGGTTGACATGTCACCATGTTCCACATTTTATGCTCCGTCTAGATCAGGCATCCCCAAACTTTTTACACAGGGGGGCAGTTCACTGTCCCTCAGACCGTTGGAGGGCCGCCACATACTGTGCTCCTCTCACTGACCACCAATGAAAGAGGTGCCCCTTCCTGAAGTGCGGCGGGGGGCCGGATAAATGGCCTCACGGGGCCGCATGTGGCCTGCGGGCTGTAGTTTGGGGACGCCTGGTCTAGATGACAGCCTCATTCCACAGCACTTGTCATCAAGAGACATGCAATCTATTTTACCTTTCTGTTTGATTCTTCATTCCTTTTCATTGTGTTATCTTGTCACATTATAATGTCTCCTCTACAAGGGCAGGGATTTTTGTTTTTCTTCAGCACTTGGAACAGTGCCAGGCACACAGTGGACAGTCAGCGAATATCTGTGGACAGATGAATTGTCATCATAGTTTGTAGTTCTGTTTATTTGTTTACCTGCAGGGGCAGTGTATGCCAGGCTCACTCTTACCATTACGCTTGCACTACCTCCATGCCTGGATTCCTACTAAGCACCTGGGAAATAGCCTTTGGATGGATGAGCTAAGTAAGCCTCACAGACAGGGTTAGGCTGGGGATGGCTGCATGGTGTGGTGGGAAGATCTTCCCCTGAAGACCAAGGTCATATTTTTAAAAAATCTGGGTTTCTGCAGGGGGAGGAAGGAGAAGGAGTTCTGGGCCTTAACCTAGAATACAAGGTTACTTCTCTGCATTCTGATTACAGCTCACAAGAGGAGGTCTTAGAATCCATGTGGCTAGAGAGGGAAATAAAGGTGGGCTTTCTAAGAACATGAATGGTCTTGGCAGGAGATGCAAAAACTCTAAGGGCAGGGGAGGATTGACTGTGGCCTCTGCTACAAGTCATTCAAGCACTGAAGCACTGTGATGGGGTCACTGAAGGCTGTTGAACTCCATTTATTTTTCTTCTCTTTCTTTCTGCAGCCTGCTTAATTCAACTGTCACAGGTTCATGGGTGCACAAAATGGTGGGACAGCTCAGAGAAAGATCGACAGAAAGAAAGAAAGACTGACGAAAGAGAGAAAGAATAAACTTCCGAGAGGCCAGGAACATTTTTTGCGGAAAGGAGTACACTAAGCTGGCTTCGAAGCATGAGAAGGAGCTCCTCAGACAGCAGATGTGGCGACAGGTGTGAGACTTCCAGGCAGAGAGACCGGCTGGAGACGAGTGTGATGTGATGAGCCGTGGAGTGTAGGGGATGTCACGGGTCATCAGTTTGGATGGATGGCTGTTGCTGGGGTGTTCACTAGGAACCAGGCATGGCACTAGTGCAACCGTAATAAGAGCGAGCTGGCTGAGTTGGCATCCTCCCAAAATTCATACCCTGAGGCCCTAACCATCAGTTTTTCAACATGTGACTGTATTAGGGGATAGAACCTTTAAAGAGGTTACTAAGTTATGATGAGGTCATGGGGGGTGCGGCTAGTCCTATAGGACTGGTGGAGATTAGGGAAGAAGAGGAAGTTAGAACCCAGGCACATGCAGACGAGGACCATGTGAGGACATAGGGAGAAGATAGCCACCTGCAAAGCAAGGGGAGAGGCCTCAGGGAAACCTGCAGACCGTGGCCTGATTTCACCCTGTGGGTGAGCTCATTCCACGCATGGGAGAGCCTCGTGGGTGTTGGAGAAGCAGCTGTGGATAGAGGTGAGCGTCCTGGGAGGGCTGCTTGGAGGCATCTACTGATGTGCAGGCAGGAGGGTCAGAGAAAGAAAGGGCCCAGGGGACACTTGGAGTGTGGCGTGGATGCCCAAACTACCCTGAAATTGGGAGGACAGAGATCAGACAACACACTGGCCTCCAGTTTAGGATCTCTGTTACTGAGCCGCCGGCACAGCCACCTCCCTCCTCTTGTCTCCTCCACACGCCCTGTGCAGGCCGGGACTGCACTTCCGTGGGGTCCCCTACACTTCACGGCTCACCACATCACATTCGTCTCCAGGTCTCACTCATGTTACCACATCTGCTAGATGAAGTCTTTCGCATGCTCCAAAGCCAGCTCAGTGTCCTCCACAAACACCTGACTCCTCAGAGGTTCATGCCTTCTTTCTGTTCATCTCTCTCTGAGCTGCTCTGCCATTTTGTCACCCAGGTTCATGTGACAATTGAGTTAAACAGCCTGCGATGACCCACAGCATGGTGCTTCCACGTGTGACACGTAAGCAGAGGCCACAGAGAACCCACCTCTGACCCCGCAGACAGGGGCTGCTTTGTGACTGTTTGCTGAGTAAAGTTTGGACAGGGCTGGACCTTGGTCTTTTGTGTGACACACAGAAGGGCTTCCTTGTGACCTTGGACTGGTTGAGTAAAACTCGAGAAAAATATTTGCCAAGACAGACAGGACATGATGCAAGGGAAAACACACAGGAGTGGATGTCCGCACCAAGGGGTCCCGTCCTTAAAGCCACCCTGAGCCCACAGCACAAATGCAGAAAAAGGTCTGTGTCTGGTTGCAGCCATCTGCCCTGCCGCTAGCCCCCACATGTGCCATCTGGGCTGTCAGGCCTGGGCCCTCACTATCACCAGCTGTGGGACCCTGGGAAAGCAGTTGTACTCTTGTCTATAAAATGGGAACAATAGTTGACTTTGCTAGTTTGTCAAGGAATGCGTGAGATCACAGGTGCAGTGTCTGGTATGAGCTCGTGCATCGTGGGGCCTCAGGACTTTGGGGGATGGACAGGGCTTGGGGTCCTGACCTTGTTACCTCTAGTGGGCACTCATCTCTGATATAATCCAGACTCTGGAATCTGAGGCAGGGAGGCACAGCCTCATGGAAGCATGCTGAGAACACGCAGAATAGGGTGGGCAGGCACACAGTTGGGTCAGACTTGGGAGCAGCAAAGGACTCACTCACCCATTCATTTGGTTACTGAGTGTCTGATCATCTTTATTTCATAGAGCAGGATACACGTGGTGCTTGGTGGAGGGAGGGAGGGAACTTACCTGGCTCAGTGGGAAGCTGGTATGTGAGATGCCCCCAAATGAGGCTTCTGCTTCCTGGTCAACTCTCCTCCACAGCACAGCACAGGACTAACTGTATAGTTCTGGGCCACACTCCCCCCACCAAATTCTGGCTGCACCACTTAGGAGCTGCGTGACTGGGTAAGCTGCCTAACCACTCCAAGCCTTGCCTTTCCCATCTGTGAAACGGGGATAGCAGTGGTCCCTTTCTTCATAAGATTTCTATGAAGAGCACATGTGGCCGTCTAGGTGAAGGGCCAGTCACCTGGCCTGGAACATAGTAAGCTCTCAATGACACCATTCCCAGAGCTGCTTCCATAAAGACAGTTATAACCAGTGTTTGCAAAATGCTTTATTGTTAATGCCAACATAAATTTCAAAAAGTTATTGACACTTGCAACTCGTACTTTACTCTTTGCAACAGGCTTCTCTTTTTCCACTCCCATCCAGGCCCATAAGTTTATCACCACATCCTCAAGATGATATAACCAATCATCAAATGGGCCATTTCCACCCTCATATCCAGATGTATTTCTTATAAGATGAATGGCTCTTGAGTGTTTTGAAATCAACCATATTTGACAGGGCACACCTCAGGCTTTCTATGTGATTTCAGAAGTCCTTGGATCACAGAAAGAGTTTGATTCTTGTATACAGCGGGAAACTGAGGTCCAGAGAGAAAAAATGTTGCTTCAATGTCACACAGCAGGTTAGGGCCGAAAGAGTAGCCCCATTTCAGACTCCCATTCCAGTATTTTTCTCATGCAGGATGAACTGACAGTTGTTGCTGATAGGTGGGGGACCAGGCTTGGATGTGTGCTTCCTGGTGGCCCTCGCCCACTGGAACTTTCCTCCTGAGCTTTGTGGCACTGAGCTGGGCACCAAGGGCCTGGACTCCGGACCTGTCTCCTCCACTAACATGCTGGTGAACTTGAGCAAGTTAACCAGCCTCTCTGGGTCTCAATGCTCATCTTTCTTGATAAATTGTGAGGGCAAGACTGAATGTTCTCCAAGTTTCCCCAAGGCACCTGTATCTTGTGGTTGTGTGGGTGGAAGCAATCATTATTTAGTAATTTTATTGTTTGTAATGCCTCATTAGTCAACTAAACCAGTGTAAATCATTAGCTACCAGCATACGGATGGGCCATAGCACACCCACCTTCATCTCCCACCCGAGGCCTGTAGATTTCAGGAGAAGCCCCACCTCAGGGGCGGTTCACTTTGCCAAGGAAGAGGATATTGCTCTCCACAATGACCATCAGAAAGGGCCTGTTGAACACTAGCTTCTGAGAGCCCAGGTGGGCCGACCTGAACATGAAGATTGTCCCCGTGGCTGCTGCCGCTCTGGTCCCAGACTCATCCACCTCCACCACAGCTTTGTGCACCATCTGCAGAAGAGACACAGGCATCACTGGGCCACCAGGGGTGGGTGAAGCCATCATAGCAAATGGCAAAGCTTCTGCTTATAAGCATCACCCTCTAAGTATCTGTGCAACTGAGCCATGGAGCAAGTTCGAAATGGAACAATGGAGCAGCTACTCTGCCCCAAGCACTCTGCTGGGAGGTCACTTCACATGTGTCTATCACTGAATTCCCATGACATCTTGAGGCAAGGTGTGGCTCTTCAGTTTTATAGAGGAGAGAAAGGAGGCCCAGAGAGTTCAGTATTTTCTGGAGATCACTCAGCTAGTAATTGTCTTCTTAGTTTTGATTGTTTAATACAGCACTCCTTAACCCAAGGATCAGTGGTGGATAAGGTTTCCCATTACATAAAGGAAAAGACACAAAATGAAACGTTTGCTTCTTGTTGGAAAAGAGAGAGAGAGGGAGAAGAAGAAAATAGAATAGAACCGAACGGAACCAAATAGAATAGAATAGAACAGAATGGAATAGATTAGAGTGGCATTGAGTGGAGTGCAGTGGAGTGGAGTGGAGTGGACTGGAATGCAACGGAGTTTAATTTGATTGTCACACGTTCCTGGGTGCACAGATTGGTAGAGCAGCTCAGAGAAAGATTGACAGAAAGAAAGAAAGACTGATGAAAAGAGAAAGAATAAAATTCTGAGAGGTCAGGAGTGGAAAGTACTGGAACAGAGTGGAGAGGAGTGGAATGGAGTGGAGTGAAGGCGAGTGGAATAGAATAGAGGTGTAGATTGGAGTGGAGTGGAGTGCATTGCAGTGGAATAGAATGGAATGAAGTAAAGTGGAGTGGAGTTGAGAGGTGGAGTGGAATGGAACAGAGTGGACTGGAGGGGGTGAAGTGGAGTGAAGGAGTGGAATATAAAGCAATAGAATGGAGTGGAGTGAAGTGGAGTGGAAGAGTGGAGTGGAGTGTAATGGACTGGAGTGGAGTGGAGTGGAATGGAGTGGAATGGAATGAAGTGGAGTGGGCTGGAGTGGAGTGGAGTGAAATGGAGTGGAGTGGAGTGGAAGAGTGGAGTGGAGTGTAATGGACTGGAGTGGAGTGGAGTGAACTGGAGTGGAGTAGAGTGGAATGGAGCGGAGTGTAATGAAATGGAATGGAATAGAATAGAGTATAATAGAATAGAATAGAATGGAGTGGAGTGGAGTGGAGTGGAGTGTGGTGGACTGGACTGGGCTGGAGTGGAGTGGAGTGGAATGGAGTGGAGTGCAGTGGAGTGTAAGGAAACGGAAGGGAATAGAATAGAGTAGAATAGAATAGAATGGATTGGAGTGGACTGGACTGGAGTGGACTGGAGTGGAGTAGAGTGGAATGGAGTGGAGTGTAATGAAATGGAATGGAATAGAATAGAGTATAATACAATAGAATAGAATGGAGTGGAGTGGAGTGGAATGAAATGGAATAGAGTGGAGTGAAGTGGAGTGGAATGGAATAGAATGGACTGGAGTGGAGTGGAATGCAGTGGAGTAGAATGGAATAGAGTGGAATGGAGTGGAATGGAATGAAGTGGCGTGGAGGAGTGGAATGGAGTGGAGTGGGCTGGAGTGGAGTGGAGTGAAATGGAGTGGAATGGAGTGAGGTAGAGTCGAATAGAAAGAATAGAATAGAATAAGATAGAAGAGGATAAAATAGATCTTGGAAAGCAGATGCACAGGAGCTTCTGGACCCACATCAGACACCTGGATGTTTGAGTGGTTGCTGATGCCGGACAGGTCAGCATGGGAGGTGAAGATGTCACTTATCCTTAGCACGCCCCTTTTCCCACTTAAGAGCTCATGGTGTCTGCTCCTGCTTGTCCCCCAGCACTCGGTTTCAATGGCACCATCCCAGAGAGACCCTCAGGCCCTGGCTGAGGAAGGTCCTCCGGATCGTCTCTCTTAGTGCCCTGTTCTCTTCCTGAACTGGTCTCCTGCCTCTACCGTTGCAACTCCCAACCCCTCCCCTACTAGGTTATTTCACTTTTCAAAACATTTTCTTTTTTTAAAAAAAAAAACTATTTTAAAACAGTTTGGATGTACAGAAAAGTTGCAAAAGCAATTCTGAGAGGTCCAATACACACTCTCAGACCTGCTTTCCCTAACAAAGGTGGGCCTCTCATGTGACCACGGCACGTTCCTCCGAACTAGGAAGTAGACATTGGGACAGCCTGGACTTCCTTGGGGGTCACCAGCTCTCCCACTGATGTGCTCTTCTGTCCCAGGAGTCTACATGGCATTTAGTCACCATGTCTGCTTAGGTTCCTCTGGTCAGTCACCATTTCCCAGGGTTTCGTTGCCTTTCGTGACCTCAACACTTTTTTTTTTTTTTTTTTTTTTGAGATAGAGTCTGGCTCTGTCACCCAGGATGGAGAGCAGTGACACTATCTCAGCTCACTGCAACCTCCACCTCCCAGGTTCAAGCAATTCTCCTGCCTCAGCCTCCTGAGTAGCTGGAATTACAGGGCGCCCACCAACTCACATGGCTAATTTTTATATTTTTGGTAGATAACAGGGTTTCATCATGTTGTGCAGGATGGTCTCGATCTCTTGACCTCGTGATCTGCCAGCTTCGGCCTCCCAAAGTGCTGGGATTCCAGGGGTGAGCCACTGCGCCCGGCCAACCTTAACATTTTTAAGTAGGACTGGTGGGGTATTTTGCCAAACGTTCCTGAAATTGGGATTGGCTGTTGTTTTCTCATGATTAAACTAAAGTTCTGGATTTGGGGAAGATACTGCCAAGAGGATGCACCTGGCTCATGATACCATATAGAAGACAGCAAGATGTCAGCACTACTCACAGCTGGCGATGTCAACCTTGATCCCTCTGCCAAGGTGCTGTCTGCCAGGTCTCTTGGCTGACATGTCACCATGTTCCACACTCTGTGTTCCATCTAGATGACAGCCTCATTCCACAGCACTTGTCATCAAGAGACATGCAATCTATTTTACTTTTCTGTTTTATTCTTCATTCCTTTTCATTGTGTTATCTTGTCACATTATAATGTCTCCTCTACAAGGGCAGGGATTTTTGTTTTCTTTGTTTTTCTTCAGCACTTGGAACAGTGCCAGGCACACAGTGGACAGTCAGCGAATACCTGTAGACAGATGAATTGTCATCATAGTTTGTAGTTCTGTTTATTTGTTTACCTGGTTATTACGAGGGCAGTGTCTACCAGACTCACTCTTATCATTACACTTGCACTACCTCCATGCCTGGATTCCTACTAAGCACCTGGGAAATAGCCTTTGGATGGATGAGCTAAGTAAGCCTCACAGACAGGGTTAGGCTGGGGATGGCTGCACGGTGTGGTGGGAAGATCTTCCCCTGAAGACCAAGGTCATATTTTTTAAAAATCTGGGTTTCTGCAGGGGGAGGAGGGAGAAGGAGTTCTGGGCCTTAACCTAGAATACAAGGTTACTTCTCTGCATTCTGATTACAGCTCACAAGAGGAGGTCTTAGAATCCATGTGGCTAGAGAGGGAAATAAAGGTGGGCTTTCTAAGAACATGAATGGTCTTGGCAAGAGATGCAAAAACTCTAAGGGCAGGGGAGGATTGACTGTGGCCTCTGCTACAAGTCATTCAAGCACTGAAGCACTGTGATGGGGTCACTGAAGGCTGTTGAACTCCATTTATTTTTCTTCTCTTTCTTTCTGCAGCCTGCTTAATTCAACTGTCACAGGTTCATGGGTGCACAAAATGGTGGGACAGCTCAGAGAAAGATCGACAGAAAGAAAGAAAGACTGACGAAAGAGAGAAAGAATAAACTTCCGAGAGGCCAGGAACATTTTTTGCGGAAAGGAGTACACTAAGCTGGCTTCGAAGCATGAGAAGGAGCTCCTCAGACAGCAGATGTGGCGACAGGTGTGAGACTTCCAGGCAGAGAGACCGGCTGGAGACGAGTGTGATGTGATGAGCCGTGGAGTGTAGGGGATGTCACGGGTCATCAGTTTGGATGGATGGCTGTTGCTGGGGTGTTCACTAGGAGCCAGGCATGGCACTAGTGCAACCGTAATAAGAGCGAGCTGGCTGAGTTGGCATCCTCCCAAAATTTATACCCTGAGGCCCTAACCATCAGTTTTTCAACATGTGACTGTATTAGGGGATAGAACCTTTAAAGAGGTTACTAAGTTATGATGAGGTCATGGGGGGTGCGGCTAGTCCTATAGGACTGGTGGAGATTAGGGAAGAAGAGGAAGTTAGAACCCAGGCACATGCAGACGAGGACCATGTGAGGACATAGGGAGAAGATAGCCACCTGCAAAGCAAGGGGAGAGGCCTCAGGGAAACCTGCAGACCGTGGCCTGATTTCACCCTGTGGGTGAGCTCATTCCACGCATGGGAGAGCCTCGTGGGTGTTGGAGAAGCAGCTGTGGATAGAGGTGAGCGTCCTGGGAGGGCTGCTTGGAGGCATCTACTGATGTGCAGGCAGGAGGTTCAGAGAAAGAAAGGGCCCAGGGGACACTTGGAGTGTGGTGTGGATGCCCAAACTACCCTGAAATTGGGAGGACAGAGATCAGACAACACACCGGCCTCTGGTTTAGGATCTCTGTTACTGAGCCGCCGGCACAGCCACCTCCCTCCTCTTGTCTCCTCCACACGCCCTGTGCAGGCCGGGACTGCACTTCCGTGGGGTCCCCTACACTTCACAGCTCACCACATCACACTCGTCTCCAGGTCTCACTCATGTTACCACATCTGCTAGATGAAGTCTTTCGCATGCTCCAAAGCCAGCTCAGTGTCCTCCACAAACACCTGACTCCTCAGAGGTTCACGCCTTCTTTCTGTTCATCTCTCTCTGAGCTGCTCTGCCATTTTGTCACCCAGGTTCATGTGACAATTGAGTTAAACAGCCTGCGATGACCCACAGCATGGTGCTTCCACGTGTGACACGTAGCAGAGGCCACAGAGAACCCACCTCTGACCCCGCAGACAGGGGCTGCTTTGTGACTGTTTGCTGAGTAAAGTTTGGACAGGGCTGGACCTTGGTCTTTTGTGTGACACACAGAAGGGCTTCCTTGTGACCTTGGACTGGTTGAGTAAAACTCGAGAAAAATATTTGCCAAGACAGACAGGACATGATGCAAGGGAAAACACACAGGAGTGGATGTCCGCACCAAGGGGTCCCGTCCTTAAAGCCACCCTGAGCCCACAGCACAAATGCAGAAAAAGGTCTGTGTCTGGTTGCAGCCATCTGCCCTGCCGCTAGCCCCCACATGTGCCATCTGGGCTGTCAGGCCTGGGCCCTCACTATCACCAGCTGTGGGACCCTGGGAAAGCAGTTGTACTCTTGTCTATAAAATGGGAACAATAGTTGACTTTGCTAGTTTGTCAAGGAATGCGTGAGATCACAGGTACAGTGTCTGGTATGAGCTCGTGCATCGTGGGGCCTCAGGACTTTGGGGGATGGACAGGGCTTGGGGTCCTGACCTTGTTACCTCTAGTGGGCACTCATCTCTGATATAATCCAGACTCTGGAATCTGAGGCAGGGAGGCACAGCCTCATGGAAGCATGCTGAGAACACGCAGAATAGGGTGGGCAGGCACACAGTGGGTCAGACTTGGGAGCAGCAAAGGACTCACTCACCCATTCATTTGGTTACTGAGTGTCTGATCATCTTCATTTCATAGAGCAGGATACACGTGGTGCTTGGTGGAGGGAGGGAGGGAACTTACCTGGCTCAGTGGGAAGCTGGTATGTGAGATGCCCCCAAATGAGGCTTCTGCTCCTAGTCAACTCTCCTCCACAGCACAGCACAGGACTGACTGTATAGCCCCTGGCCACACTCCCCCCACCAAATTCTGGCTGCACCACTTAGGAGCGGCGTGACTGGGTAAGCCACCTAACCACTCCAAGCCTTGCCTTTCCCATCTGTGAAACGGGGATAGCAGTGGTACCAGCCTGTCTTCATAAGAGTCCTATGAGGGGCAAATATGACATCCAGATGAAGGGCCAGGCACCTGGCCTGGAGCATGGTAAGCTCTCCTGACACCATTCCCAGAGCTGCCTCCATAAAGACAGTTATAACCCGTGTTTTCAAAATGCTTTATTGTTAATGCCAACATAAAATTCAAAAAGTTAGTCATTGACACCTGCAACTCATACTGTACTCTTTGCAACAGGCTTCCCTTCTTCCACTCCCATCCAGGCCTATAAGATTATAACCATATCTACAAGATAATATAACCAATCATCAAATGGGCCATTTCCACACTAGTATCCAGATGTATTTCTTACAGGATGAATGGCACTTGAGTGTTTCGAAATCAACCATGATTGACAGGGCACACCTCAGCCTTTCTATGTGATTTCAGGAGTCTTTCGATCACAGCGAGAGTCTGATCCTTGTATACAGAGGGAAACTGAGGTCCAGAGAGGGAAAGTGTTGCCCCAATGTCACACAGCAGGTTAGGGCCGAAAGAGTAGCCCCATTTCAGACTCCCATTCCAGTATTTTTCTCATGCAGGATGAACTGACAGTTGTTGCTGATAGGTAGGGGACCAGGCTTGGATGTGTGCTTCCTGGTGACCCTTGCCCACTGGAACTTTCCTCCTGAGCTTTGTGGCACTGAGCTGGGCATCAAGGGCCTGGACTCCGGACCTGTCTCCTCCACTAACATGCTGGTGAACTTGAGCAAGTTAACCAGCCTCTCTGGGTCTCAATGCTCATCTTTCTTGATAAATTGTGAGGGCAAGACTGAATGTTCTCCAAGTTTCCCCAAGGCACCTGTATCTTGTGGTTGTGTGGGTGGAAG